TTTCACAATAGACGTTTATACACCATTCGATAGAGAATTTCAAGAGCTACATTTTGCACTATTTGTATTTCAAGATAGATAAAATCGACTTTTTGGCCTAATGTCCGCTTAGTTGCCCACTGTGTAACGGTTGTGGAGTTCTTTCATTGTAAGCGTATCAAAGGGCGAACCTGTGGAAAATTCGAGAATTCAATAAGTCTCGAATGAAACAAGCTGGAATGCTGAAAGTTTATGTGAATATCAAAGACAACTAGTAGAGTCATGGAAAAAAAATTAAGCTCTTCACTGCTATTTTTGCGAGGGTTATAAAATTCTAAATTTCTCCGTGCTTCCTTAGCAAAAGAGACAAAAATCTCCGTAACTTTTGAAAGAAGTGGCATGGGCTCGAATCCCTCTAGGATTTTACTAGTTACCTATCCTCTATCGATCGAGATATGGACTCGGTCCTTCCTTCTTTTTTCCCCTTTCAAATGCCATGAAATAATCACGTAATGAAGACACGTAGTAGGAAGAGTGAGATTGAGCCGCCTAATTGATCCTCTGTGATTACAGTTGTAATGATCTATCAAATGTGATGACCGTTAACCATGTTGGATCAAAAAATGACAATGATTGCATTGCTAAATAAATCTAAAATAAAGAAGTATCGAATTCTGCTATAATACTACGACATGTAATGAAGTAGAACCGCACAATCAAATAGTTCGTTCTTCCAAGATGAACGATTCATCATTTTCATTGTATGAGAGCGCATGTTTAGTCGATAAATAGTATTTAATTACTTATTATATATTAGTTACGTCACATAAAAAATAAAACACGTCCTCTTTCAAAGCTGAGTGCCAGTTTCTCAATTTTTATTGATTCTGTTCCCACTAGACTATAGATGGTTTCTATTGTTAAATAAATTTCACTATTGTACGCAGTGCAATATAAATTTTGGCTAAAGTGAGACACATTTTTACAACTGATTCATATGTATATGATAAGTTTGTTAAATTTCTAAAGAAATTCGTCAAGATTAAAAAAGTGTTTCTTACGAATTGAAAAAAATAGGAAATCAAGTCTACTATTCAGCAAGGTTGTATCATATTCATTCTTTTAGTCTGATAAAATCTATCTTTTCGCTAATCTCAATGAATTTATAACATATATTTATATGTTCATGTATTCAATATAAAAATATGTTGATAATAATAACATTTCTATAAACTGTTTTAACATTTGGAATAAAAGAAAAAAACACACAACACAAACACGATATGTACAAATAATATCAGCAAGAAAATGTTTTAATTAAAAAAAGTAAATAAAAAATGTTAACAGATCATTTCATTCTGAACGAAAGCCATATGACTTAATAATCACGATAAAATTTCAAGATTGTATATCTTATCTTGTGATTACTACTATAATATCAATTATAAACATGTTCCTGTAATACAACTACGTCTTGAGATTAGAACAACACACATTTCGAATATTCATTGAATACTATCTGACTTAAGCAAAAAAATTAAATTATTTTGCCACTCTCGATAAATGCTAAAAAAAAGTACTGTCAAAAATTTTCTACATTTCAAATCGAATACTATCTCTTGTAAACGATGGTTTATTACCGCTAGATAAAAGTGGAACAGTTATCGATGGTGGTGCAACAAATGTTCGATATTTTTTCTGATAGGATGATGTTGACGGTGATGATTGTGTTAAAAATGTTTCTGCTTGTTGATGATCAATTGTATTAGTCGTTAGAATTGTATTTAAACTACTGGTGATAGCTGTATTATGATTATGATGACTCGTTCCACTACTCGATCCGCTACTAGCAGAAGATGTTGGTAGCGAGGAATTTATACATATACCACCGACAACTGACGATGTGGTTGATGGTGCTTTTTGTTCCCATTGTTTAAATCGACTATAAATATCGGAAAATGTTGGCCGCATTTCACTTAATTCTGACCAACAATCACACATTAAAATATACATTTTTTTTGGACAATTTACAGGACATGGTAATAATTTACGATCACGAATCATTTCAATAGCTAAAATGAGAAATTTAACATTTCATTGATATGTTTTGCTCAAGAACATTCAGTTAAGGAAAAACAAATATAGAATAATATCAGTATCCATCTTTTATGTTGTCAAAGGAGGATCTTCCGTCCTGAACGTTCTGTCAAGTTCAAATCATTGTTTTACTCGAGCATGCACTTATTTTACATATGTTCTTGTTTACCTTCTGGATTTGTGGCTCCATGATATGGCTGCAGTCCATATGAAAACATTTCCCATAGTAAAACTCCAAAGCTCCACACATCTGACATTTCACTATAAATTCCTGCTAATAGCGCTTCGAGCGAAAGCCATCTGACAGGTAAACATCTGTTCGCTATTTTATAATAATCTCCATGATACTTTTCTCGACATCGGCCAATATTTGATATTTTACATTCCATATGTTCTGATATAAGAATATTTTTACATGATAAATCATTATGTACAAAATTACGTGATGATAAGTAGATCATACCTGAAATATGAAATATTACAGTAATTATTAGTAATTTGTCTAATGAAATTGTTCAGACTTACCACTTAAAATTTGAATTGAAATGAAAATGAAGTCATTTAGATCTCGTGTATGATGAGTAATGGTTGATGTGGTGGTCGATCGTTGAAGTAAATATTCGTGAAGATCACCTTCATTTAATCTTTCATAGAGCATCATCATCATACCATCTTGAGGTTTAATACTGACGCCTAGTAGACAGGATATATTTGAATGTTTTATTTGACAAAATAATTCTAATTCACGTGCGTATTCATCTTTTAATTGTTGATTACAATCTGTATGTAATGTTTTTATCAAACATTTTGCAGGAATCGATGTCGAATTATTGAAACCAATTATTTCACCTGTATAAATACGACCATAATCACCTAGCCAAAGTAAAGTCAAAAGATATAATTAAACAAGAAATTTGATATATTTTGATTATAAATCTTACCTTCCCCAAATTCTTCTAGAAATCTAATGTTTGTAAATGGAATTTCTAAGTTACCGTTGATATTATTATTTTGAATTCTCGTATATTGTGTAGATTTTAATAGACTATTTTGTTTACTTGGATGTGTTTGAGTTGTATTAGTGGCGGCTGATGACGATGAAGAGGTGAGAATAAGATTTTTCTTAGAAAAATATTGTTGATTTTGCTTCGGTGAACTAGACGCTGATAAAGATGAAGAAGTCTTTTTAATCGGAGTTGAAGATGAAGAAGACGATAAATGTCTTGAACTTGTGACAGAACGTCGACAACAACAAAATATGATCATAAATATGAGTAAAAGTGATAGAGGAATTAAAATACTCGGTAAAATAATGAGTAAATTATCAGATGGACGTATACGAACGGATGAAACTAATGCTAAAATGAGATAGATACATCTAGTTTACACAGAGACCAAGAATGTTATGTCATCATTTTATTTGTCCACAAGTATCTCTACAGTTGATTGTTGAAATTTACTGGATTTTATTTTTGACTGTTTCCAGAAACTAGGACGCACTTACCACAGTTTGTTAGACCACATATTTCTCTTTCAACAATACCATTTCGTCTCACATAACACCATGGTTCAGCTTCTAAACGTTCGGTATTCCTACAGTAATTGTGACGAACTAAAACAATAGCAAAAATACGTTCATTCTCTTCTAGTTCATCCATTGTACACTAACCTTCTCTTGAACAATCATCCATATCTCGTTGACTTCTGCATACAGCATTCCAATTGAGACAAGAACGAGCAAATTTTGTGTAATTTCGACGACCAGTATAATTTTGACCAATATCTGTGTAACAATCTTGAGCTTAAAATACAAACAAGAAAAAAAAGAATTCTAAATGAAGATCTTTATCAGTCAAACATACCATTAGCTGAATCTCTGTCTTTATCTAAACTGATACATGATGAATCATCACTAGCTGGTGGTAATGTTTTACAGGCAGGAATATTTTGAAACACTTCTAAAAGAAATAAGAATATATTAAGTCTTACTTATCAGCACACTCAATAATTGTTTAACTTACGATTAGAATATGGTCTATAATTAAGAATTGTAGAACATGCTACATCTTGAAAATATTCACACGTTCGTCTACAAATAGGTCTCGTATTCATTCGATCATTATCACAAATTGAAAATGCAAATAAGCATATCATTGGGAATACTAAACGACGACATTCATTTGGTAATATATGATTTTTTAATAATTTCAAACCGTCTACGAAACGAAAATAATACATAGAAATAAATTCATTTTATATTTATTGAAAATGATCTTACCTTCTAGTCCTCGTTCAATATCATCTTGGCTTTGTTTTTGTCCAGTTGAAATGTATTGATCACCAATAACTGATCGACACACTGTACCACGATATATTTCACATTTTGGTTGTTGTTGCTGTTCTAATGGACCATTATTTGTAATAATAACAGGTTGAAAATCAGACGATGGTAAACTAAAGAAAATAAAACGATAAAAGAAGATAATGGATATGGCTTAGTGTTAATTCATACTTACGCATCATCATCGTCATCTGATTCACTTAGATTGAGGACATCGGCACCATCTATTAAAATAAAAACAGAATTTTCTATAGTATAATTAATTTTAGTTGAGTCATTTTCATTACCTGATTGTACACGAACAAGGCCAGTTGTGGTTATTGTTTGATGTCCATTCGATGCTTCGCATGTATATGCAGCTGATTCTCTCAAATGGTTTAGTTGTATCCTATAGGAGAAAAAATGATTTGATCAATCTCAAACTCGTACTGTAATTGCTCTACATACACTGACGATAGCGTTGTTTGATTAAGATGATATTTTTTCAAATCAATTGGCGTATTAAATCTATACCAATGGAATATTACTGGCAAATAGGTTGAATTTACTTCACATTCTAATGTTATTGATTTGCCACTTTTTTCAGTTATATTTGATACACGTTTTAGCCATTGAATTGTACTAAATCAGACATAATGCATGCTTAGTTTAATCACATATTAACAGATTTCAAGTTCTCTCTACATCAAATAATATTCACTCTCTAAAAGCCGTTTTTTAATTGTGTGACAAATTTTTTTAAATTAATGATGATGTCATGGTGAGTTTTAAAAAAAGATAAAAAATCTCATTATCATTAATTTTTGTCATTTCCTCCTTTAACTCTTGATTAGATCAATAGAGAATAGAAAAACCCTTGAGCATTGAAGACATCCGTTTGTTTAAAAAAATGTTAATCAATCATAAAATGTATCTATCTATTATGACGTTTTACAATATCATATTATACGATATGATCAATATCAGCGATTGTCACATCAAGAAACTAACGTCTTATTCACCTAATATTGACTTGTTGTTGTTGCTGTTGTTGTGAACCTTGACGATTATTGTTGACGATAATCGATGACAGATCACCTCTTGTTGATATCCAATATGATGACAGTAGAAGAAATAATACTAAAAACATACATAGATGAGAGAGAGAGAGAGAGAGAGATGAATACTATCATATACTTCCGTCCAAGACAAAAAAACAAAATTGGAACATCTCGTGTAGGCACTTCATAAGATTTAAAGTTATTTTTGACAGAGTGTTCATCTAATTTCCGCAACAGTTGCGTCAAATAACAAGACGCATTTTAAACTTTCACTTTCAAATCGTTATGTTTAGCTTTGTATATAGTTAACGGTGATTTTGTTTGATGATTCAATTCTGTAAAAGAGGTAACAATTGCTTGAAAAAAATACTCTAGTGTTATGAAAATTGATCATGACACAAAATGCTCTTATAAATAACAAAGGTTATCGATGTTATAGAGGAACAATTTCAATAACATGTATAAAGCACAATCCTTTCTATTTGCCCTTGGTAACTGATGATTTTATATGTATGTTTGTTTGTGTCATTGTCAAAGTGGTGACGAAATATGTATTTCATTCTCACAGTGATATTTATTCTCTCAAGAAAAAAAGGAAAACATCATTGGCACTTGCTTTATATAGCCCACAAAAATCAATTTGTTGTACAAACACATTTCTTCTCTTTCTCTCTCTAAAGCACGGTGCTAACATCAACAAACAGACAACTTCTTTAATATGTGTAGAGATGGAGATTGTCAGTGTTGATGTATTACAAGTGCTAGCAAACACAGTAGCTGTATAAAAAGTGTACATAGTTCAAGTTCTTCTCTATATCATCAGAGAAAGAAAAGAGAATAATCGTAATCGAATAATAATAATAATAATATTAATAAGTGTAATGGAAGCATTTAACTGTTAGAGATCTGACGACAAAGTGCTAATCAAATCACTTGACAATACACGGATACTCAATTTGGCAAAAATAACTGCATATGTATGAATACGAGTGGTAGATAGTACAAAATGTTTCACAGAAAACATCTTCTACAGTTCATATTTGAGATCATATCACCGATAAAAAAAAATTAAAGTTTGTTTAGAGTTAAAGAAAAGTGCTTTTTCGTATTCAGCACACTTGATAACCTGGAAAATTTTCTACTTTTAGCGAAAGGTACCGCCAAAAAGTTAAGAAAAATTTTCAAACAAATTGACGCAGAAAAATCTCCATGGTAAAATTATACAATTTTGAAAATTATTCTTAACTTTTTGGCAGTACCCCTCGTTAAAAACAGAAAATTTTCCAGGTTATCAAGTGTGCTGAATACGAAAAAATACTTTTCTTTAACTCTAAATGAACTTTAATTTTTTGTCAGTGATATGCTCAGATTTATTTCCAAACGACATATTTGAAACTTTAGACAAAAAAACTTTATCATCTTATCAAAAATCTCGAAAGTTAAGAAAAACTTGACCGTAAAGAATGTGTAGAAGATCCATATTAAGTAAACAACTTTTTACACCACTGATGCTATATTTCTCAATTAGTGCATAATTAAAGGTGATTCATAAGAATTTTTATATTATTAAGAGATTTTTATCACAGTTACACATGAATATCTGAGCAAATCTGGATCGATTGTGTGTCCAGTCTTCTCTGCACTAATGTGAAAGCACTCAATTAAGATAACCTTATTACGATTTTCTAACAAGCAAAACAAATTATGTTGATAATAATCTGTGCCGAACCCTCTTCTGTTTTACCATCATTATCTTAATTATTCATGTTAAGTATAGATGCTTTAAGAAATAAAGATACGTAAATATCAATAAAACTTACCAGTCGTTGAAATCATGATCATTGATCAAATCAATTTGATATTATTCTTGTTTCTAAAAGTGTAAAAATAATTTAAACTTCTTGCCCATAGCAGGTAGAATATTGAACATTAATACAATTATTTGACACCAATTTTATGCGTGTGTGTGTGTGTGTATGAATTTTCTCTCTTTTCTATTCTCCTTTTGTTCCAAGATGCCGCACTCCAAAACTCAACTCTACTCTCTCTCTTTCCATATGTATAAATGATCTATATGACAGAATTTTCTCTTTTCTTTACTTTTTTTTTTTTTTGTTTCAATCCACAGAGGGCTATTTATACTATATGTAGATATGTACAATATAAGGTCATAGTCAATTACAATAATGTGTCCAATCTATAATTAGTTAAAGCAGTGAGTAGAAAGAGAAAAGAAAGATCGACAATGTCCTGCTGTTGTCTCTTTTCATGATTATTATTATTATTGGAAAGAGAAGAGAGAATTGTATAACAGCATGGATACTAACTACCACTGCTCATGTCAACTGAACAACGATTATGTAGTTGGTACGTCTGCTCTAGTTCAAATAAGCAGGAAACGACCAATATCACAACATGCAATATCATTATCAACTTGACATCAAATTTTCATAGAAGTTTTAAGAAGATCACCTACTGTCAGAATCATCGTATTTAGATCAGCTATGAAATAAGAAACAGAAGAAAGAAAGCGTTAGTGACCTTCATCTTGTCGATATTTACAGTATAATCTTAAGTAAAATAGGTTTAGAATTGGTTTCAATATTCTTCTGATTTAGTGTAATCCGTTAAAGAACTAGAATGAAATTGTCCATTTCCTTTTTTTATTCTATTCTTTAACAATTAGAGAACATTGTATCCCGCAGGAAGAAAAGACATGTAAACTTAAAAAAATTTTATATTTAATGAAAATTTATTTGTTCAGTATTATTGTTATACCGAAGATGATCTCTTTTCTTCTTATTGTAATTCATGCTTTTGTATAATGCCAAAAACTATATATTAATAAACGAAAGAAAAGAAAAATGAATAGAAAGATAAGAGATAAATAATCGTCTCTTTTTTCTTTCTTATATTGATTGCATAAAGTGAAATGTTGTTGGACATATCAAATTAATAATCATCTTCTCTAATAATGTGAGTAGCATTATTCTGTAAATTATCTCTTAAAAAGATTTCTTTACATCCATACATACCAAAGAACGAACACACGCACTGATATCTCTCGCTCTCTCTTTCTCATTCATTCATATTCTGTTCTGTTTATATTAGAAACATTAACACTTATTAAGTCGTTTTTATTTCACCATTTGCATATTGTCGTTGAGAAGAAGAAATGTATATGTCTTCTCGTACTATCTCTATCGTCATATTTCAATCAGATTCCGTGATCGGTTATCGATAGATGAAGAAGAAGAAGAAGAAAAAAAAAAGAAATAAAAATCTAACACATATAGACAGTTGATAACTGTATACTATGTACGCGGTAACACAAAGACATCATATTGAAATTATTTCAGGTTCTTTTTATTACCAAGTAAAATAAATATTTGGTATGCTCAAAAAGAAAAACAAAAAAGTCGCGTAGTTTTACTAACGTGAAAAAATAACAATAATGGACTATATGAACTTTAAGAACATTAATATGAACATAAAACACACATACTTTCTTTTGAACTATGTTCAAAATTCAAACACTTTTTAGAAACGCATCAATAGTTATGAACTAGACACAAGAAGAAAATGGAACTTCACAATAAAATTAGATAAGAAGAACAAGCAATCATATCATATACAATTAAATAAGAAACGAGTATCGAATAGCATAGTCTAAGTTTTCTATAGATGTTACTAAATCCCTTATGTGTAACCATCTTTTTTCCCATGATCACTTTGAATAATGTGTTAGAGAGAATATTTCCACACATAACTTATGTCAAGAAGAAGAAAAATTTTCACGATCAAAAATGTCTCAAATATTAGATAAATATATTTTCAACCTCGTGGATCACACTGAGTCTAACTGGAATATTCAAAAATTCAGAATTTCTCTACAAGTGCCTTGTAATAGAGAAAATCAGCTGTCATTTAATGACCTTGTTCATCAATACTCTAATCTCTAAGAAAAAGAAGAAACATAACACATATTGTCGAAATTTGTTGATTAACTGATTGATCTTATCAGTCAAAACTTTCTTATCGATGTATCGTATGACTTACAGAAAAGTTATGTGCTAACTCTAACTCGTTGCAGAACGATTGTACATGTTCGATGACACTCATTTTAAGTCAAAAACAGAGTAATTTTTATTCAAATATAAAAGAACAAAAGTTGACCGTAAATGGCTTTATACATATATACTCTCTGTCTCTCTCTCTCTCTCTTATCTATCGTTCATACTCATATATCATATTCATCTGTAAAAAATTACACACAAACACACGCACATAGATATATATATTGCGCGTCATTTATTCATTTAGTTAGTAGTAGTCGTTTACTATTTGATTAAAACCAGACAGCAACACGGTTGCACATTCATAAAATAGTCATCGACCTTCCACTCAGATTAAAATTAGAAAAATAAAAGAGTCTCTTATAAAGAAATGGAGAAATGTTTTTGAACATGTCAATCAACTAAGGCTTTGATTTAAATTTACATTAGAATACATACAGTTAAGCGGATGGAAGATAATGTATATGTATTAACGACCAATAAAGTACAAACGACAAATTTACGATGTTAAACTTAAAATAGGCGATCTTTAATATTACCGATAGATCGATGATTACTATACGATATTTAAAAACAAAATATCTTTATGTTTTTTCTCTTTTTTACACCATAAAATAATTAAAAAGAAACTGGCCTCTATCCTTAACAGTGAATAATGGATGTCCTTTCTATAAGATTTCAAATGCAATGTGTATATTATAGTATATTTATGAGATATAACGATATTCGTTGAATAAAATTTGTCTATACTTTTGAACGAACATACACACACTACCATTCATTTATTATATCTGACGCGTCGTAATTATACTGTTCTTCTTCACCTGTTACCTGCAGCCATCTTCTTGAACAATATGATACTCTCTATTATCACTCGTTTTATTTTACACATTCTCTCTCTCTCTCTGTCTCTCTGTCTCTTTCTCTCTCCCTCTGCAGAATACGAAAAGTTTTTCGTAATATATTTTGTCAACAAAAAAGAAAAAAAAATCTTTTAAAGGGTAGCCAAATCC